GATAATATCAATAGATGCTGAGAAAGCTTTTGACAAAGCACAACACCCATTTATGATAAAGGCCCTTGAAACTCTCGGGATACAAGGAACATACCTCAACATCATAAAGGCCATATATGACAAGCCCACAGCCAATATCATTCTCAATGGTGAAAAGCTGAAAGCATTTCCATTAAGATCTGGAACCAGACATGGATGTCCACTCTCAACACTGCTTTTCAATATAATACTGGAAGTCCTAGCCAGAGCAATAAGACAAGAGAAAGTCATACAAGGAATCCAAATAGGCAAGGAAGAAGTCAGACTATCACTATTCATAGATATGATAATATACATAGAGAACCCCAAAAAACTCCATAAAAAAGTAATTAAACCAATCAACAGTTTAGTAAAGTGGCAGGATACAAAATCAACACATAAAAATAAGTAGCCTTCCTATGCACAAACAAATCTGAAGAAGAAGAAAACCATCCCTTTTATTATTGAAACAAAAAAAATCAAATACTTGGGAATAAACCTAACAAAAGAGGTAAAGGATCTATACAAAGAAAACTATAAAACACTGTTAAAAGAAATAGAAGAAGACATAAAGAAATGGAAAGACATCCCCTGCTCAATGGAAGAATGGGAAGAATTGACATCATCAAAATGGCCAGCCTACCAAAAGCAATTTACATATTCAATGATATGCCAATAAAAATTTCAATGTCATTCTTCAAAGAAATAGCACAAATATTGCTGAAATTCATATGGAGCCACCAAAATCCCCAAATAGCCAAAGCTCTCCTGAAAAATAAAAAGGGAATGGAGGCATCAAACTTCCAGATATCAAACTATACTACAAAGCCATAATAATCAAAACTGCATGGTACAAGAACAGACACATGGACCCAATGGAACCAAATAGAAAATCCAGAAATAATCCACAGATTTACAGTCAAGTAATCTTTGACAGAGAAGCAAAGAATATGCAAGGGAGCGAAGAAAGTTTGTTCAATAAATGGTGCTGGGAAAACTGGGTAACTACATGCAAAAGAATGAAGCTTGACCACTACCTCACACCATGCACAAAAAACAACTCAAAATGGATTAAAGAACTAGACATAAGACCTGAAACCATAAAATATATAGAAGGAAATACAGGCAAAACACTATATGACATGCACCTCAAAGACATCTTTACAGACACATCACCCAAAGCAGTGATAGTGAAGGCAAAGATAAACAGCTGGGACCACAGCAAATTAAAGAGCTTCTGCACAGCAAAAGAGACAATAACCAAAACAAAGAGAAACCCCACTGACTGGGAGAACATTTTTGCACACAACACTAATGATAAAGACTGATCACAAAAATCTACAAAGAGCTGATGAGACTCAACAAAAACAAAGAAAATAATCCAGTCAAAAAATGGGCAGAAGAGCTAAAAAGAAACTTCTCTGAAGAGGAAATGAAAATGGCCAACAGGCATATGAAAAAATGTTCAACATCACTTGTAATCAGGGAAATGCAAATCAAACCTACAATGAGATACCACCTCACACCAGTGAGAATGGCACATATTAAAAAAACTAGCAATAACAAATGTTGGCGAGGATGTGGAGAAAAAGGAGTTCTCCTGCATTGCTGGTGGGAGTGCAAACTGGTCCAACCACTATGGAAAGCTGTGTGGAGATTCCTCAACCTACTAAAGAGAGAGTTTCCATATGATCTAGCATTTCCATTCCTAGGTATTTACCCAAAGGACACAGAAACAGTAATTCCAAAGGGCACTTGCACCCCTATGTTAATAGCAGCACTATTTACATAGTTAAGCTATGGGAACAACCCAAATGCCCCAAAACAGATGACTGGATCAAGAAGATGTGGTAATATAAAAAAGGAATATTACTCAGCAATCAAAAAAGATAAACTCATGCAATTTGCAGCAACACGGATGGAGCTGGAAGGGATCATGCTGAGCGAAATAAGCCAGAAAGAAAAAGAAAAATACCGGATGGTCTCACTCATAACAGGAATCTAGAAAACCTAAATAAGGGACCAGGAAAAAGACTAACTGTAATAAAGAAAAAATCAAAATCAACAAGCAAGTATAAACCAGAGACACACTACAGGGGGGTGAGGGGGAGGAGAGGAGGGATTAGGGTCAAAATAAAGGGGGTGCAATTGTATGGGGAATATAACCAAAATGAAAATGCATACATTGTGCAAAAATGAAAAATGATGTAAGAATGATATAAAATATATAAATATAAACCATCAAAAAAAATAAAAAAGGAAGATTCTGAAGGGAAGATGTGAAGGTCAAGATTTTGAAGAATAACAGAAATATTACCACTGTCAAATATTAAGATGAAGGATATATATACACAGAAAAATCAAACAGAGAAAGAAATTGGAGCAGAAAGAACTAAGCAGTATATTATAATGGTCAAACTTGGAGAACAAGTACTGCCACCAAAAAAGTGAATCAATAAAGCTCCTGGCCTGTGCCATGGCTATCACTGCAGGGACTTGAAGAGCAAGTTTACATATCAGATATGGTGCTAGCAGTGGAAGGGCATAAAGGAAAGAAGTAGTGCTTCATAGTTCATCAAACTGTGAATTCCAAAAAGCAAAAGTATGAATGGCAAAGGAAAGATGGTGGAGAGAGAGGCCGAAGTCATAAACTCATGACACTAAGGGCAGGAGGAAAGGGAGTTGTCAGAAATATTTGAATACAAAATCCACCTCTGCTTCTATATAAGGTTACCTTGGGCGAGTCACTTAACCACTATGTGAGGAAATCTGTATTCTAGTTTATAAAATAAAGAGAAAAAACAACTATACCTATGTCATGGGATTATTTATAAGAATTATTAATACATAAAAATGAATGTAATAGCATGTTCTTGAACACATGAGTAAGAACTCAATAGCTGGCATTTCATAATCTTTATTGATAATAATGTTGACAATAACAAATTAAGATGGTACAGGACCAACTTGATTTTCTGGTACAAAGTTGTGAGCACTAGACTTTGGCTCTCTTCTTCATTGTAGGTTTTCATCAAAATAACCAATGGAATTATGAAAAGATGGAAAACGTTTCAAAAGTGTTTGAAACTAGAAAAGAGTGCCACCCATAGGACAGAAACTTTGAGGAAACTTTGAGATACTTTTCATATGTGACCAAATGTTAATCACTCTAAGGTTAATATATGATGCCTCTTCACAAAAAAACTTAGTCACAGGAATGTAATTTGAAGAGACTCCTGGAAATGGATAGTTAGGAGAGGCCAGAAAATGTCAAGGGATAAAGGACAAAACACCACATGATCTGTCTATTCTGTAAATTAGTACTATCTGAAGTAGTCTCTAATGAAGTAGAGTAGTCTCTAATGAAGTAGTCTCTTAGACTAAGCCCTTAGTTATGTTATGAAGAAAGCTTGCAAGAAGTCACTGAAAGATTATACATCTCTACAACTTATTTCTGAGTTAGACACAAGATAAAACACAACACTGGGAAGTTAACCCTGGCCCAAAACTTTCAGTAAACACAAACTGTAGAAACAGGGAGTTTAACCACTGGCTCTCCCTCTGCTGAAATAATTGAATTACTCAACTGTGCAGAAATTCACTTGAGAGAAGTTGCAAGTGGACAGTTAGAAAACTAAATAAATAAGTGAATGGATGGATGGATGAATGAATGATGAATAAATAAATAATAAATCCTGTTTCAAATAGAAAAAATAATATAAAAGAGATTCTGTGACATAACTGTAAAGAACATGCCATTTTAAACGTAGCTATAGATATCAGACAAAGCTGGTAGGTATTTCCAAGTACATAGCATGCCACAGAGGTCAAAGCAATATTCTCCTGTTAAGATTATTGATAAAGTACGAGCAGAAAGAAGTAACATAATCCTGTGTCATAAGGGAAATTCTCAATAGTATGAAATGATACTCTGGGAACTCACATAACTTAAAGATATGTGAAAAACAAGACAAACTACTTAGAAATACTACAAAATATGTTGGAGAAAAATTGAATTTTTTCAGCAAATAAACAAAGAGGGAACACTTCTCAACTCATTTCATGAGTATAATGTAACCTTGGTACAAAAAAAAAAAACCAAAATCTATAAAGAACTTTACAGAAATGAATTAAAGATCTAACTAAATAGAAACATATATGATAATCATGAGTTGAGTAACAATACTATAACAATTTCTTCCAAATTAATCCATAGATTCAACACATTTCAGCATGTGTTTTTGTGGAACTTGTGAATTCAAATAAAAATATATTTGAAAATGCAAAGCATCAATGGTAACTAAGATAATCTCTAAAAACAAAACCGAAGAACCTATATAGAGGCTTATATAAAGCTACAAAAATTTAAAAGTGTGATATTAGAACAAGGATAGAAAAAATAGAATAAAAAATTTAGTAATTGACCCACATATGACATGTCTAGTTCATGGAAATGGGGCCATGAAATGTTAGGGGGGAAAGGATTGTTACTTGGGTAAGTAGGGCAGGATCAGCTGAATGTTCATATTTAAAAAAAAAAAGTTTTATCTTGCACAATATATAACAAATGGCAGATGGATCATGGACTTAAGTGTGCAAGTAAAGTGTCCAGAAAATTATCTCTTTACTTTAATGATGAAGACTTCTGAAACATGGCATTTGTAGTAACAAATGGAACTTCATTAAAATTAAGAACTTGTGCTCATCAAAGGTACTAGTAAGAGATAAAAAGGAAAATAAAGTGGGAAAAGATATTGTCATTGCATATACCCAACAAAGGACTTATATCCCGAATAAATATATCTCAGTATTCCATAAGTATACCAAAGACAACAAAAATATTGAAACCTATCAACATATAAAAGAAAAGAACTAATTAAGAATGTACAATAATAAACACTATTAGGAGAGAACAAACAATATAAAGGAGAGAAGTAAGAGAAATGAAAAACAACTAATGCAAATTTCATATAATGGACATATAAAACAGTGCTAAGAAATGGTTGTGGAAATTTGATTAGTTGGTGTATGAGGAAATAATATAAACTAAGAAGTAGATTTAGCATTTAAATGTCATTATTAGAGGGGCCTCTCTGGTGGCACAAGGGGTTAAGTCTCAGCAATATGAAGCTATCCCAAGCTACTGTAGCATGAGTTTGATCGCTGGCCAGGGAGCTAACCCACATGGCGCTGCAGACCTCCTCTGTTTTGCCCACTGCTCCCCTCAGCAGTGTGTTTCAGTCAATCCACCTGTTCTGCTCCCCACTCTGTCTCTGTTGAATCCTCACACCCCTGCATTTCTGGCATGCCAGTTCTTGTATGCATAAATAACTAAATCTTAAAAAAAAGTCATTATAAGAATAAATAGAATATGTAAACATTGTTAGAATACTTGCATACCTTAGAGATTCTGTGCATTTTAAAAAAAGAGGGAGTTCTCTCTCTCTTTCTCTTTCCCAAATCCCTCCCCTCCCCATGTGGGGACAGAGTGAATAAGTGATTGCATGCAAATCAGGGAGAGACCCCTTAACAGGAACTGAATTAACCAACACCTAGATCTTGAACTTCTCAACCACCAGAACTGTGAAAAATAAATTTCTGTTTTTTAAGCCACCCATCCTTGGTATTTTGTTATAGAAAAGATACCATTTGAGGGTAAAGGAAAGTCTTTTCAACAGTGTTGCTGAGAAAAGTGGAAATACACATGCAAAAGAATGAACTTGGTTCTTACCTTATACTATATATTAAAAATAGCTCAAAATAGATGAAAGACCAAACCATAGACCTAAAACAATAAACCCTTAGAGAAAAATACAGGGGCCAGTTTTTATGACTTTGATTTAGTAATTTCTTGGCTATGACAGCCAAAGTGTAGGTAATAAAGGAAAAAATAAATTGAACTTCATAGAATTTTAAAAATTTTGTGCATGAAAGGACACCATAGGGTGGAATGACAACTCAAAATGAGTTAGTATTTGCAACATATGTATCTGATAAGTCATTACTATGCAAAATATATAAAGAACTCTCACAAACAACAAAAAACCTAATTTAAAAACAGGCCAAGGACAACAAACAACACCTCAAGGTCACCTATTCTAACTCTAGAAGGAAACAGACATTTCTCCAAAGAAGATATGCAAATGATCAATAAGCACCTAAAAAGATGTTCAACATTAGTCATTTGAGAAAAATGCAAACCCAAACTACAATGTGATACCACTTCATATGCATTTGAATGGCTACGATTTAAAAAAAAAACACACACAGTAAAATGTTAATAAGCAAAGGTGTAAAAAGTTGATATGCTTTGCTATGGGGGATTGTGAAGTAATAGAGTCATTGTGGAAGTTAGAGCATTCCTCCAGAAGTTAAATAGAAAATCAAGTATGATAGAGCAAACTCACTCTTATGCATATAACCCAAAATACTGAAAGTAGGGGCAGATATTTGTATACCCAGTGTTTATAGTGTTGTGCCCACGTCGACCAGTGCAGCCCCCAAGGACACAGACAACCGATGCAAGGGCACAAAGGAGTTTATTACGGGCTCGAGACCGGGCCCTCGACACTCACCTATGCAACGGCAGAGGTCGAGAGCCCCAAACAGAGGAAGCTGGGATATCTTATAGGGTCGCGAGTGGCGCGAATTTTGAAAGAAGCTGGCAATTACTCATTGGCTACTACAAAGGCATTTTGGCGCGCGCGGTTACAGTTTCAAACTGATTGGACGGTTAGAGATGCTGTCCCATTTATGGACAGGACTGCCCTCATTGGCGGCTAGGGTGGTCTGCTTTTTCGTCACCAAGTGGAGTGAGGGTTGTGACTGCTGAAACTATCTCCGGAATGCGGCTGGACAAGGACTAACATACCAAGGTGGAGGATATACAAAATGGCGAAACCCCAGCTAAGCTTGGTTCCACATATAGCAGCATTATGCATAATAGTCAACAGATGGCTGGATAAACAAAATGTTTTGGGGCCTCCCTGGTGGCGCAAGGGGTTAAGCACCGCACCATGTAGCAATCCTCAGCCTCTGCAGCACCAGTTGATCCCTGGCCGGCCAGGGAGCAACCACATGGTGCAGCAGACCTCTCCTGACTCGCCTGTTGCTCCCCTCAGCAGTGTATTTCAGTCAGCCTGCCTGTTCTGTTCCCAACTCTGGCTCTGGGGACTCCTCTAACATCCCCCTCCCCCCACATCTCTGGCCTGTGCCCCAGCTCTTATATGCATAAATAAATAAAAATCTTAAAAAAACAGTTTCATTTACATACAGTGATTACTATTAAGCCATAAAAATGAATGCTGTTCTGATACAGGTACAACACGGAAAAATCTTGGAAATATTATGCTAAGTGAAACAAGCAAAACATAAAGGACAGATATTGTATGATTTTACTTATACGATGTGCCCAGAATAGGCAAGTATGTAGAGAAAGGAAATAGGAAGGGCTTGCTAGTAGCTGTGAGAAGGGAAGAATGGAGAGTTATGGTTTAATGGGTACAGAGTTCATGTTTGGGATAATAAAAACAGTTTGGAAATAGTGGTGATCTTTATATAACATTGTGACTGTACTTAATGTCAGAATTGTAACTAAAAAATCAAAGTAGTAAATTTTATATTATGTAATTTAACTAAAAAATGCATTTATCCTATTAAGTGACATTGAAAAGTATGAACAATGTTAACTTTTTAAAAATTACAAAATGTAAAATATGTAAATATGTGGAATTCTCCACAGTATGAATCTTCTGGTATTAAGGTATTAACAATTGTGAAGATCTTTGGTGCTGCAACAATAAGCATAACAGTATTTTCTTTAAAATGCTCTTCAGTGTGTCTGAAAAGAAACAGACAAAATCAGCAATGATGAATAGTTTTATTCTAAGTGAGGGAGATTAAGTTAACTTCTCTTTGCTCACCTTTCTCTCTTAATTTCTCTGAAATGAACATGCTTTGCTTTTCATTTAAGATTTTTTTTATAATTAAATAGGAATGCCCTTTCAACTTATGACACCACCATGTGGACAATAAATAGAAGTGGGATGGATCATGTAGAGGAAGTGCATGTAGGACTCATTGGTCCTCCTTCACCATCACGTTGAGAAGTCTTCCCGGAGGTGAATCCTCTGATGCTGGAACACATTGGAACTGTGCCGGAAGGCCTTTCCACACTCAGTGCATTTGTAGGGCTTCTCCCCAGTATGTATCCTTTGGTGTTGGATGAGATAAGTACCCTGGCTAAAGGCTTTCTTGCAATCACTGCATTTGTATGGCTTTTCTCCATGGTGTGACCTCTGGTGGTGGATGAGTCTGGAACTGTTATGGAAGGCCTTTCCACACTCACTGCACTTGTAGGGTTTCTCTCCTGTGTGGATCCTCTGATGCTGGATGAGGTGTGTGCTCTGGCTGAAGACTTTGCCACAGTCATTACATTCATAGGGTTTTTCTCCAGTGTGGCTTCTCTGATGTTCAACAAGTTTGGTTTTTTGGATGAAGGCTTTTTCACATTCATTACATTTATAGGGTTTCTCTCCAGTGTGAATTCTTTGATGCTGAATAAGGTTAGAACTTTGGGTAAAGCCTTTGCCACATTCTTTACACTCAAATGGCTTCTCTCCAGTGTGAGTCCGACGGTGTCGGATAAGGATTGAGCTGTCACTGAAGGCTTTTCCACATTCATTGCACTTATAGGGTTTTTCTCCAGTGTGAATTCTCTGGTGATAGATAAGAGAAGAGTAAGCACTGAAGTGTTTTCCACACTCACCACACTTGTAGGGCTTCTCTCCAGTGTGAATTCTCTGATGCTTCATGAGATTGGGCCTTCGATTGAATGTCTTCCCACACTCATCACAACGGTACGGGATCTCCCCTGAGTGCATCCTTCGGTGATTGATGAACTCACAGCTCTGGCTGAAGGCTTTCCCACACTCATCACACTTGTAGGGCTTCTCTTCACTGTGAAGTCTCTGGTGCTTGACAAGGTTAGCACTATACCTGAAGGTTTTCCCACAGTAACCACAATAATGCAACTTTTTTCCAAGAGTAATTTTCTGATCTTCAACAACTAAATTAGCACTGAAGATTCCCCCAGAATCATGCACTATATTTGTTTTCTTTGACCTGTGTACACGTTTATGGTTATTGAGGTATGATCTCTGTTCGAAACTTTGTTCACATATATCACATTTGTGAGGTCTCTGATCAAGGATAGGGCTTAACCCCAACCTGTGTCTTCCCCCAGACTCTTGACTGTGCTCCTTGTTGTTCACCATGACTGGCCCGGGGCCACTCTGCCCTCCTGACTTGTCCAGGCTCTCCTCTGACTCCCTGACATGCTCATGGGCTTCTCCAGGCTCAGGTCCCTGGGGAATAGTTTCCCTGAGTTGGTCCAGTTGTCTCCCATTAAGCATCACCCCTGAAGTCAACTCCTTGTACTCAGGTCTGGTCCCATGAGCTGAAACAACAAGCAGAATATCTCAGGGTCACCTGTTCTGACTCTGGAAGGAAGTTATGAAGGTGCGTCTGACCACCTATGGAATACCAATACAGTCATCTCCAAAGTCACAATGGCCTTACAGAGATGAGACCTTGTAGTTCAGAGACTAAAGGCCCCTGCTAAGGGCCACAGCCATGTGGCAGTCTAAATATTTAAACCCAGGTCTGACCAACTTTAACATCCATGCCCTTCCTGCCTGTCTTCTGTCCACAAAACTTGCCTAAGTGGGACTGTAGGACACCTTCCCTCATTACAAAGGGGTAGAAGATGGAGACTTCATAGCATCATGGAACCAGGCCAGGGAGAGGGCCCCCAAAATCATGGAAAACATTGGACAAAGAAATTAAGGCCAAGAGAGTCTAAGGCTACCTAACAACAGCCAAATCACCTCCAAAAACATGATAGAAAAACAAGCTACTTCCCTAATAGGGCAAAAGACTGAGCTCATGGCAACAGGAATGATGGAAGGGGAGGATGGAACACACAGAGACCAGGGTCCCTTACTTTCCCTAGCAGGCCACACACACCTCAGGGCTCTTCAAGGAGCCTAAGAGGCCACCTAGGTGAGCCACTAGCACTTTAAACTCAAGATGCCCACACAGAATGCCTCCTCATACCCCCTCAATTCTCCATTCAGTTCTTATTTGACTAGACATTCACACACTGACTCCACTTTTAGGTGCACACAGAAATGCATTCTCTGCTAGCCAAGAGAGACAAATGTACAACCACCCCAACTGGGGACAACTGAACGTCCTTCACAGGTACAAAGGAAAATAACTTGTGGTATGCTTATACCTCAGAATACTGCATGATGACAAAACAGAGCAAACTGCTGCTTCATGCAATGTGGTTACCCTTATAATATTCAGACACCCTGAATGAGTCCAGACAGATGAACAGACTCAAGGGGTGGAGTAGCCTCCAGGAGTCAAAGAGAAGGGTCCTTTGGGGTGTAATAGAAAATGATAGAGGATGCTCAGTGAAGTTCTTTTAGCCAGAAGTTCATTCCTAGAATATCAACAAGGCACACTCAAAAATATGAACATCAGCATTGTTCATTGCAATTAAAACACAGAACACTTTTCCTGTTGGCACTTCCACTGAAAGCAGTAAGGAAGATTTGTGTACAGTTGGCCCTCAAGTATCTGCAGGTTCCACATCAGAGGATTCAACCAACCGTGGATTGAAAATGCATACTATGTAATTAGGCCCACAATGGTTGCATCTGTACTAAACATGTACAGACTTATTTTTCTTGTCATATTCCCTATATATAATACAGTATAACAACTACTTACAGAGCATTTACATTGTATTAGGTACTATACAGTAATTGAGATGATTTTAAATATATGGGAGTATGTGTGTAGGTTATATGCAAATACTATGCCATTTTATATAGGAGACTTGAGCAGCCTCAGATTTTGATATCCACAGAGGGACCTGGAACCAGTTCCCCACAGATACAAAGGGACAACTGTATAAAAATGGAAATTTATTTAGTGAAAAAGTGGATAATACAGTAGTGTGCATGAGATCAATGCATTCCTGCTGAGAAGCAGTATTAGCAGGTATAGAATAGTGCTAGAAAAGAGACAGCAGCATACATATTGGATGACTTGGGATGATGTGTATCCTCTTACCTGCCATGGTCTATAATTAACAAGTAAGTTAAATTAGAAGGGGTAGAGTGAAGTGATAGTCTCCATAGAGTCTCTGTATAACTCTGACCCTCCTCATAGCACATGAGTTCTAGAAGACAGGGCTCCATGGGTCCTGTGACCCCAGTCTTACTTCACAGCACCCTCAAATGCCCTTTCCTATTTTCCTCCATCCGCAGCGCCCCTTCTCACCTTCCTAGAAGACTGAGCTCAAAAATCACTCTACTAAGGGCTGGCAGAGATGACCTGGGTTTCAGCAGAGACCACTGTCTCAACAGAAATCACTCTTACAGCTACTCTGCCGGCCCTGATGCATCTTCTTCCAAACTGCTCAACCATTAACCAGATACCTTGAACCCCAACAAATATTTATGCAGTGATTGAGTTAGGGTTACAGCTCCCCTCACGTACCTGAGTCATTGATCCTTAGTTGCTTTCTCCCTTTGGAGCCCTGCGTGTCCAGGACCCACGGCTCACCCCCTCGCTCCAACTGTGCGATCACCCCGGGTTTTGGACTTGCAGGTCCAGCTCCTAGGAAGGAGACAGGGCCTGGGGTTGGTACCAAGGTTGCAGAGCAGTCTTGCCCTGGAACTTCAAGGGGTGGGGGGGGGGGAGGGAAAGTACAGGCATGGTAGCAAGTCTGGACACACTCTGGAGGGCTAGGGCTGGTCATGAGGATGAAGAGCTCAGCCCAGGGGACGAGAGCAGGCTTTATATACCAGGAAGTGCACAATTCCCCATCTCAGGCCTAGGGCAGGACACACTCTTTCTTTCTTTTTTTTTTTTTTTTATTTATTTTAGGGGCATGTTTATTTATTTATTTGTTTGTTTGTTTGTTTTTGTTTATACATGCACTGGGTACAGTCAGAAGCGCGGGAGGGTGAGAGAATTCACCAGAGCCAGAGCAGGGAGCAGAGCAGGCAGAAGGACCGAAGTACACTGCTGAGGGGAGCAGCGGGCCGCAGGAGAGGTCTGCGCGCCATGCGGGACCCTCCTCCGGTGGCTGGGGAGCAGCCGGGGATCGAACCGGCGCCGCGGAGGGCAGGGGCAGGTTCGCAACCCAGCGCTCAACCACTGCGCCACCGGGGAGGCCCAGGACACACTCTTAACATGGAATTCCAAGGAAGAACCAGCTGTCCTTCCTCTATGTAGACCAGGCCATCCTTGGACCAGTATCAGTGACACATGTCTCTAGGCCCAAGGGGTGAGGCCCCTAGGTGAGCTTCTGGTAAGCACTCAGCCCCTAGACCTGTTCCTTAAGCTACATCCATGAAAGGAGCCTTACCCAAGGAGACCAGGTTGCCATAGGTCTCCAGCATCACGTCCCTGTAGAGGCCTCTTTGAGCAGGGCCCAGATGGCCCCATTCTTCCTGGGAGAGAAGTACAGCCACATCCTCAAAGGTCACCTCAGCCTGGAATGACAGAACGCTGCTGCAGGCCCAGGTGTGGTTCAGGGTGGGCCCTGAGTCAGGGGGCACAGAATCTGCTAAGGGACAGGGTTAGCTTCAGACTTGCTTTCTTGCACGGACAGGGCCCAACACTTGTACCACTGAGCCAGTTAACTTAGGGAGATTTCTCTGCTAGCAGCACCCCGGGCCAGACAAACCTGACAATGTTTGTTGAAACAGACGAGGCAGGGAAGCTCTGGGTGGAGACCTCACGGGGAAGAGTGATGCTTACCTGGGGTAGGACAGACAGATGCAAAGTCGCCATCACCTGGTGCTCTGGACTTCCCAGGGGTGCTGTGCAGGAGCAAGTCACTCAGTTGCTGAGGGAAGAGAGAAGAACACGTGGAGGCTCAACCTGGCTCCTCTACTGGCAGCTCAGGGCCTTGCTCATCCTTCAGGGTTCAGTTGACCTCCTAAGCAATCTGTTCTGTGCCTGGTGCTGTCAACTCAGCTACATTCCCACAGCACAGACTCCCGCAGAGCATCTCAGGTCATCTGCCCCTTCTCCAAGCCCCTCATATACTCAGCTGTCTCATTCATGAAGAAGATAGTTACTTTATTTTTTTAATTTAAATATTTTATTTTATATAATTCTTACATCTTTTTTCATCTTTGCACAATCTATGCATTTTCATTTTGGTTATATTCCCCATACAGTTGTACCCCCCCCCCCCGCCCCCACTTATTTTGACTCTGGTCCTTCCTTTCCCAGCCCATTGCCCCCCCACCCCCATAGTATGTCTCTGGTTTATAGTTGCTTGTTGATTTTGATTTTTACTTTGTATTGATTAGTCTTTTTCATGGCCCCTTATTTAAGTTTTCTGGATTCCTGATATGAGTGAGACCATCTAGTATTTTTCTTTTTCTTTCTGGCTTATTTCGCTGAGCATGATCCCTTCCAGCGCCATCCATGTTGCTGCAAATTGCATGTGTTTATCTTTTTTGAATGCTGAGTAATATTCCATGGTATATATGTACCACATCTTCTTGATCCAGTCATCTATTTTTGGGCATTTGGGTTGTTTCCAAAGCTTAGCTATTGTAAACAGTGCTGCTATAAACATAGGGGTGCAGGTGCTCTTTGGAATTGATGTTTCTGTGTCCTTTGGGTAAATCCCTAGGAGTGGAATTGCTGGATCATATGGAAGCTCTATGTTTAGTAGGTCCAGAAATCTCCACACAGCTCTCCATAGTGGTTGGACCAGTTTGCACTCCCACCAGCAGTGCAGAAGAGTTCCTTTATCTCCACAACCTCGCCAACATTTGTTGTTGCTACTTTTTTTAATATGTGCCATTCTCACTGGTGTGAGATGGTATTTCATTGTAGTTTTTATTTGCATTTCCCTGATTACAAGTGATGTTGAACATTTTTTCATATGCCTGTTGGCCATTTGCATTAGAAGATAGTTACTTTATATGAAAGATAAAGACAACATGTTTAAGGTTGATAAGGAAAAGGAAGTAAAACAAAATCAGCAGCACAGAGCAAAAACAGTGTAGGAAATAAAAATACAAAAGTAGTAGAAACAAGTCCAGTAGATGAGTAATGATAAATAAAAGGATTAAAATCACCTACTAGATTGAGCAGATCCACAAAGCACACCTACATAAATTAAAATTAAAATAACATAGAAAGGCTGAATATGAGACTAAAGGAACACTAATTAAAATAAAGCTATAGTAGCTATATAGCTCTTCTGTATCTTTAAAGTTCATTATCAAAGAATGTTTTTTCTGCAGGATTTGACAAATCTGAACACACAGCTCAAGGGTCAGTCACAAAGAACCCATGTTCACAGAAACAGCATCGAGAACAGCCCTCCTACCCCCTGCAGGCTCTACTTCTATCCCAGCCTCCTAAGGATGAGCCTCCACCTTCACTTCCACCACCACAGATCCATTGTGTCTCTGGTCAGCTTTGTCAGGGGAACTATGCTGTGTATACTCCTCTGTGCTGGATTCTTACTCCACACATGGCATTTGTGAGTTGAACATGTATTGCTGCATGTGGCTTAGTGATATTTATACAAATCAACACAGAACTGAAAGCAAAAATTACTAGTAGGAACAAAAAATGCATATTAATTACAGGAAAAACTCATCAAAAAGATGTTAAGTACAAATGTATGTATGTACCAACAACCCTCAAAATGTAGAAAGCCAAAGCTAACTGAACTAGCAAAGAGGAACTGGTAAATCTTCCTTTGGAACAAGAGATTTTAATGCATTTCCCTCAGTAATGAATGGATCAAGTAAAGAATATTTAGCTACATATAAACAAGACATTTTTTTCAAGATGTACATTGGATATTATAAAAGTACCACATACAAGGCAACAAAGGAATTTTCAACAAATTCCAAAGACTAAGATCATTTGGCAAAACATCCTCTGATCATATTTTTGTTATACTAGAAATATATGATAAATTACCCCCCCCTTCAAGAAAAATAGAAACTAAGGTAGAAATGGAGACAATACTGATTTTCCATGTAAAAAATATATTTCTTTCTTCCTGTGGCACACAAAACTATATTTCTAGCGGGGTGAAGATGTGAATGATTTTTTTTAATGTTTACAACTTTTATTTAAAATATGCAAAAAAAGTTGACCATAAAGGAAAAAGTATTTGATTCCATCAAAATCTTAAAGACAAGCTGCAGAGTGAAAGAAGATATTTAGCAAATGTATTAAACAAAAAATATACAGAATATATTTTTTTAATTTATGACTTCATTAAAAATAAATACAGGATGTGATCTGGTAAATCACAGATAAAGAAATGAAACTGTCCGTAAACATCTGAAAAGATTTTCAATGGCATTAAGAATTAAGGAAATACAAACTAAAATGACTACTCTTCCCATTGATTGGGGGAACATATAAAATACAGTATCAAATGTTGAGAATATAGGAAATATGGAGACTCTGAAAGTCTCCAGATCCCCTAGAGGGTATTGAACTCGTACAGTCACTCTGGAAATACACTTAGTAATGTTGAACCTCTGCAAGTCCCTCAGTCAGAAAACCTAGTTCTAGATATGTGCCCTATAAAAATCCCTGCTAATGCACACAAGAATATTACCATATGCCTGTGCACAAGAGAAAGAGGGGAAACAGCCTCAATCCCACAACCATCAAATAGTCAAAATAACAGTGGTTGAAAGGAAAGAACCACATCAATGTCATACAGACAGAACACAAAGCTATATGGATAAATAAAATTGTTCAATGCAGAGTTTCTATAGTATGATATGTGTGTAGATTTTTTTTTTAAGATTATTTATTTATTTATACAAGCACTGGGTACAGTCAGAAGTGCGGGAGGGTGAGAGAATTCACCAGAGCCTGAGCAGGGAGCAGAGCAGGCAGAAGGACGGAAGTACACTGCTGAGGGGAGCAGTGGGCAGCAGGAGAGGTCTGTGTGCCATGTGGGACCCTCCTCCGGTGGCCGGAGAGCAGCCAGGGATCGAACCAGTGCTGCAGAGGCTGTGGGCAGCTTCGCAACCCAGTGCTCAACCACTGTGCTACCGGGGAGGCCCTGTGTGTAGATTTTTAAAATACAAACATATTTGATGTGTATATGCATAAGAATGTGCTGACAGAAAAAGAAAGAACAAAATATTCAACAGAATGAAAAGGCAATCTACAAAATGGGAAAAAATTTTTGCAAACCATATAACTGATAAAGGGTTAATATTTAAAAGATATAAAGAATTTACACAATTCAATAGCAGAAAACAACCAGATGTAAAACTGGATAAAGAACTTGGGTATACAGAAAGATAACAAGTATAAGAAAAAAATGCTCAATATCACTAATCACGGGAATACAAGACAAAAATACAATGAGAAAGCATCTCATATCTATTAGAATGGTTATCATTAAAAAAAAAAAAAACAAGAGCAAGAAGTATAGGTGATAATGTGGAATCTAGTGTACCCTTGACGTTAATGAAAACTGGTGTAGTCATTATGGAAAACATTAAAATAGAACTACCAGAGGATTCAGAAATTCTACTTCTAAGTATATAAATCCCAAAAAATAAAATGTGGAGTCTGAAGAGATAACTGAGCCCCTATATTCATTGCAGGACTATTCCCAATATCCCAAGACATGTAAACAATCTAAACATCCATGGGCAAATGAATGGATATGTAACATGTGGGGACACACACACACACACACCCCGAAATATTATTCAGTCTTCAAAAAAGGAAATTCTTTTTTGAATGAGCCTGGAGAACATTATGCTAAGTGAAGTAAGCCAGACACAAAATCAAATACTGTATGATCTTACTTATATACAAAACATAAAATGATCCAAATCATAGGTGCAGAGAAGAGTGGTGGTTGCCAGGGGTTGGGGGGTGAGGAAAATGTATGTGGGATGATGGACATATTAGCTTGTGATGATTATTTCACAGGGTACACATATATCAAAATGACAAGTTGTACATCTTACACAGACAATTCCTATTGTCAGTTATACTGCTTAAACAAACAAAACAACATGCTGAAAAGACATTGGTCAAAATGAGACTTGCCTGGGGAAGTGAATAGAATTGGGGCCATGCATGTAAAGGTAGTTTAACAGTTTTCTTTGAAAGGGGAATAGGGGTGTCAAACTCATGTGACAAAATGGGAACTGTCAGTCCTAGTCACTGGTGTTTGCTGACCCATTCTCTGTACTTTGTCTTGAAAAAGATTAAAATATATTAAAGGCGCAAGACCACCTAAGGCGTATACAAAGGCCTCAGGATCTTGAATAAAAGCCTAAGAGAGAAAAACTTAGCTGTTGGGAGAAAGGCCCTGCACTGCCAGGAGCAACAGCAGGGCAAAGGGAGGATGGTCCACCTCTGGTAACTGGCTGCTAAGGCTGGAATCCTGCAGTGACTGAAAGTGTGGGGGCAAGTGGGGAGGGGAATTGAGGTGGGCACTGACAGGGAAGAGGGTGCACACTGGCATTTACTGTCCCCAGTCAATGGCTTGTGAGGAAACAAAGAGCAGGCTCGGAAGCCTGGAGCAGATAGATGAGGGAGCAGAGGGGGAGCCTGGGCGAGGGAGGAGAGCAGACTAAGCAGACCGCTCTCAGGGAAAAGTAGGCTCTGGTTGGGGGTGTGGCGGGGGGGGGGGGTGGTGGAAGGTGGGGTGCGTCCAGGGCTCTGGTCACCATCTGCAGGGCTGGGGTAGAAGGACCGAGGAAGGCCTTGAGCCCCTGAGCTTGCAGGGCCCCCTCAGGACAGATGCCAGGGCAGCCCCGTGGGGGCTGTAATCCAGCGGTTGGCGGTGAGCGGGGGACGCCAGGCCGGAGGAGGGGCCAGGCAGGGAAGCCGGTCTGCAGGGCAAGAGTGTGGCCGACCCCGAGGCGGACCCCATCCCCACCAACCGCTGGAGGGCGGGGCGTCGCCGCTCTTCCTGGAGGAAGGGTCTGATCCCCGGCCCCAGAGGCCCAGTCGCCCCCGCCCCTGCCAGCCCACACTCACCTCAGCGCCGCGGAGGAGCGGCGGCCAGACAGGCCCCTCCTGCCCCTCCGGCCCGCCAATAAGAACGTGGCCGGAAGTGACGAAAGCCGCTCTGCGCCCTGGCAGGAAGCGTTCTCAGGCCTCTCTGGGAGAGGAGGATGCGCGTCTCAGTGGTGGGCTTCTTGGGGCGCAGTGATTTCCTACCCTATGTGGGTGCACAGGGAAGCCCTGTCACCAGGTAGCCCTGCCACCAGGTAGCAGGCTGAAGCCGTGACCCCCTAGGACCACAGAATGGAAGCAGAGGGTCAGCAACTTTGGTGACCACTGCAAAACTAGCATTTCAAAACTAACCACAGGCACACATTGGAGGTGGTGCGAGTTCAGTTCCTGACCACCACAATGAAGCAAATGACCCCAGTGCTTGTAAGTATAAAAATGTGTTCCCCATACTGTGGACTATCAAGTGCCAACAGTATTATGTCTACAGAAACAATGTACATTTAAAATATTGTTTAAAAAGTGCCAACCATCATCTGAGCCTTCAGGGAGTCATAATTGTTTTACTGGGGAAGGGTCTTGCCTTGAAGTTGATGACTGTTTATTGATCAGGGCAAGGTTTGCTGAAGGTTGGATAGCTATTTCTTAAAATAAGACAATGCTGTTTGCCACATTGGCTGAAGAGTCTATCCTCTCAAATCGTGCCGCTGAATTTATCACTAAATTCATATGCTACTCTAAGACTTTTCTTATTATTTCAACAGTGTTTATAGCATCTTTAGTAGGAGTAGATTCCATCTCAAGAAACTTGTGAACATATTCTAAAACTTTCTGCTTTCAACTCATGCAAGTCACCAGCTACGTTTGCCCCTAACCAGAGAGTTAACCTGGCCTTTGAACTCTGAAGCCAGACCTAGATTTCACTAGCTTTGAAAATCCTAGACAGCATCTTCCACCGAAAGCTGTATTATTTATATTGAAAATCTGTTGTTTAGTGTAGCTACCTTCATCTATGATCCTACCAAGATCTTCTGGATAACATGTTGCTTTTTCTTGCATTTTTGTTATGGTTTCTTAAAGCTCATGAACTAACTTCTGCTACCATCAAATATTTCTCTTGCAGCTTCCTCACTTCTCTAAGACATCATAAAATTGAAGGGCATTAGAACTTTGCTGTGGATTAGGCTTTGGCTTAAGGAGATACTGTGGCTGAGTTGAGCTTCTATTCAGACCACTGAAACTTTCTCCGTATCAGCAGTAAGGCTGTTTTTCTTATCATTCATGTATTCACTGGAGTAACACTTTTCATTTCCTTCAACCTGACTAGACATTGGAATAAGAGGCCTAGCTTTAGGCCTACCTCGGTATTTGACTTGCCCTCCACACTAAGCTTAATTGTTTTTAGTTTTTTATTAAAGCAAGAGTCATGTGATTCTTCCTCTTGCTTGAACACTTAGAAGCCATTGTAGGGCTATGAATTGACCTAATTGCAATATTGTTGTCTCAGAGAATAGAGAGGCCAAAGAGAAGAGAGAAATGACCCTCAGTGGAGAGTCAGAACATGCACTACATTTGTCATTGAAGTTTGCCGTCTTATGTAGTGGACATGGTCTGTGACACATCAGAACAGTTACATTTGTGTCATCAAAGATCACCAAGAACAGTACCATAACAGATTTGATAGTAATTTAAAAAATTGACTTGCTTCAAGAATTATCAAAATGTGACCAAGACACAAGTGAGTACATGCTGCTGGGAAAATGGCAGTGATGATGTGTTAGGTGCATGGTTTCCACAACCCTTCAATGTTTGGAAACTGCAGTATCTGTGAAGCACTATCTGGTGAAATGCAACAAAATGAGAAATTCTGCTCCATTAAACACCATCATTTTAGATTTCAATAACCAAGCTTTCTTTTGGAACTTCCAAAATTAAATGGAAAGGATACAAAGTTGGCAAATATATTTGTCCCAATAGCTCAACCTAAAAACAGAAGTGAGCAGAAATAAAAAGATTGTCTTGTGCTATTAAAAAACTGCATGTTTGTGTAGACACCTGTTTTTTCTTGAGACCCACTTTCCACCTGACCTGACCCTCTCTTCCACTCACCCTTTTCTCTACCCAGGAATTGAGTTGTAGAGACCCCTCTGACTTCCTGTGGGCATGGTCATTAGTGCTTGCTTTCAGGAGATTGGAGGGAAGAAAGAGCAAGAGGTCCAGGTGTTTATTCCCCTCTTGTATTCCTGCAGTTTGCTTCTGGCCCACCACTGCTCTTTTCAAGTTGGTCTACTTTACATATTTGTCTCCTAGAATTCCCTAACTGCTTCTTTATGGATCTTCATCAATTATCCTGATTTAAGTGTGCCCCCCACTCCTGCTGGGTCTCTCTCTCTCTTTTTTTTTTTTTTTTAAGATTTACTCATGCAAGCACTAGGTCCAGTCAGAAGCGCGGTAGGGTGAGAGAATTCACCAGAGCCAGAGCGGGGAGCAGAACAGGCAGAAGGACTGAAGTACACTGCTAAGGGGAGCAGTGGGCGTGGCAGGAGAGGTCTGTGCACCATGTGGGACCCTCGCCGGTGGCCGGGGATCGAAAAGGCACTGCAGAGGCTGCGGGCAGCTTCGCAGCCCAGCGCTCAACCGCTGTGCCACCAGGGAGGCCCCTGTTGGGTCTCTTAACTAAAGAGGCAGGTGTCACTCAGAATAGTCACGACCACACAGTCATTTCTCCTACTTTTAGTCAAAACTAGCCCTTCAACAGCTTAGCCTGGTGCTTTCCTTTTCTTTCCTAATGACTTTTTAGGGAAAGAGATGCAATATCTTTCTTCAACACTTCCAGTATTAAACCTTCTCAATAATGTATACAGCTTTAGATCAACTTTTGCTGAAGGAGATTTATACTTTATGTACAATGAAAATCCATCCCTCTTCCCATTTTATGTTCGCCACTGAGATCATAGGATGAGTGTGAAGAAGGGACCTCAGACACGATCAAGTCTAGAGGTTTCCAAATGGGTGCTTCTGTTTGTGTCCTGTTCCGTTTTCAAAAGTTCAAAAGGATATGTGGAAATGTTTTGTTTGTCTAGATTAGGACCACATGGATTATTCTGTCATTTGAATGTTTTTAGTGGCTAAACTCCATCCAAACACACATCCCATATGAAAAGTTTGGGGATTTATCAATCTCCTTTTTTACTCTAACTCACTGAGGTTATAGTTTGTTGCATAACTTGGAATACAGCCCTGGTTTCCTTGCTCTTAATTATTCCTCTTTCCATTACATAATCCTCCTTAGATGAAAACTTCCTGCCCTAATATAGCGTTGTTATCCATATTCTTTTCAGATAAATCTCCAAAAAGCAGATTGCCAGGTGTCATCTGAGAACTAGATGTGTTATTAACACTTGGGAACTTGCTAGAAAGGCACCCTCAGCCCCCACCACAAACTGCCATATCTTCATCAGATACCCTGGTAATCCAGTGTGCACATTAGAATTTGAGACACTCTGGCCGGTGGTCCTGCTAATTCCAAATCTGTGGACAACGCCTTAAGGTGGTCTGCTGCATTGCATCCACATGCACAGGTAAATAAATGCCTATTTCCCCCAGCTGCGTGATCTGCAGTGGAATGGACTGCAAGAAGACTCACAAGGAGGAAAAACTGTCTGAAGCCTCTTTCTTTCCAGAACAGAAGCTTGGCATTGTCTTAATATGATGCTACCGGTCACCTAAGAGTGCTGAATTTCTAGAGTAAAATATTTCCCACTTACTCTGTGTTATGTTAAGTTAGTGCTCCTTGAAAACCTGTGCTTCTTGTACCTTATTGCGTGAAACCTGCTCATGGAAAATAGGAAATTAAAATTAATGGAGATAGGGTAGAGAGGGGAGAAATCCAGCTGGACAAAGGGAAATCGTTTGGAAATTAAAAACAAAACAAAATATAAATCCAGGAGCCTGGGAGTTGAAAAGGGAAGTTTTATGTAGTTCTAGCCAGCTGATGTCATTACAGCCAGTCCTCTGACTGACCGGAGAGGCCAGGGGAAGGGGGGATGTAGAGGTGGGAAGGACCCAGACATTATTCCTCTGGATCTGAGGCTTAGGCTTAATGTGAGCAGGATGAGGTCAGTGAGAACAAAGAGGCATGTTTGAGTAAGAGTCAGGGCCATTTCCCTGCAGAGATGATTCTGTAATCCTATGGAGGGGTCCACTGTGAGTTTAAAGCTTCATCACGTCCTGTGTACCTCCCCCTCTCTCAACCAGTCTTTCCGTGGTCTCCTGAGCCCATCCTCCACCTCTTATTCGGCGAGCTCATCTGTGTTCAGGAATGGGAGGGTTGGGGCCACTGACACACACCAGTATCCTGCAGCCTATTATTTCCTGCCTGTCCTGGCTCCCCTCCAAGGCCCAGCATGACAGGTGGATGAAGTTCACAAGAAAACTCAGCAATGGGCCAGTTTTCCAGGAATGCTGCTGCAAACTAGATTCATAAGTTAAGTCACCCCCACCACCCCAGGCTGAATGGAGGGCCAGCTGAATGAGGCAGAGTTGTTTTTTCTTTTTTTTCCCTCTGTCTCCAGTCTGGATCCTGTGATTGTTTCAGCTGGTATACAGCAACTCCCTGCTCAGGCTCCAGGGCTCCAAGAGTTTCCAAAGCCCTGTAAGGAACAAAGACACTTAACTCATGTTTCTGTTTCCAAACTAATCATCTACAATTGAGGACTGGAAATAAGGACAAGTGTCAGGGGGAACATGGAGTTAAAGGAGCGTGAGGGACGCACACTGCTTTAGAAAGAAAAGTCTCAGTCTCAGGATGATTAAGTTATCTGTGGAAGAAGATGGGAGAAAGCAAAAACAGATCACAGCTTCCAAAAAGTGATCCAGAAAGATTTAGAGTCAGATTAAATTCTGGAGAAATTACTCCCTTTGAACTATTTTGGATGTTACTGTAAATGTGTCTAATCCTCCAATAAACCTAAGACATTTTCTCCCAATCGTGAGTGAATAGGACAAGTAATCATGCAAATTCTTCTTGGTTGTGACCTCAGGCTGAACAGTTTAAGGCAACCCTAAAGCTGTCATATAGGTCTTTGAGCCCCTCATCTTCATCTCCTACTATACTGAGAGGGAAGGGAGAAGGGGAGGAAATGCAAAACTACATCTAGTCCCTGCCCTCCTGGAGCAAGCTTGCTGCCCCAGGCAAGCAAGTCAGACTGACTTGCAGGTGATAAATTGTAATATGGTGTGGCTAGCTCTAGGGAGTGCATGCAAATGTCACAGCAACACCTGGAAGGAGACATAGCAAGAATACCCCAGTGCCTGGGAAGGGATAGTTGCACTATTTTCTAATTCTGGGTCTGCAAAAACAGAATGGGATGGGTCTGGCCCAACTTATTTTAAGGCAGTTAACCTGCTGATGGGGTTAGTCAACA